AAAACGTTGAAGGGTGAGAGGTGTAACACGAAATATGTGCCATTCGCCGTACTGAAAAAGTGGCAGAAGTGAAAGTAACTGAAGCACTGGGTAAAAAAGTCTCTGCGATCTACAATAGGTTAACTACTGATTAAAAGAGTTAATTAGTCGGTGGTGGGGAACTATAGGGATACTGGTGCTGTATGGTGCTGCATGAAATGGGCTTGACAAACCGTGGACGGAAGATATTTCCCACTCATCACATTCCTCTGCACTTACTGGCACAAGTAAAACGGTAGCTTTAAGAGATGCTATAGAAGAGCATAGTTGGAGATGCTGACACTGCAAACAGTTCATTTATGCAGTTTTTTAGAGGTCTTAACAGAATTACTTCTTTGAAACCATGGGCATTGCTGGCGGTTTTCAAAACACTAGACCGATAACAGAAAGCCATATTCTCGGACTTAAAATCGGTATACAAGCAATTTTGGATAAGATAAGGTGATAGCAAGAGCATAAACAACATTATTTTAAACGGGTGTCTTTTGATCTTGGAAGGGCATTGTTTACATTTCAGCTATTGATGAATTGATGCTTGAGAATTTGAATAACGTAGAAGTTTACGGTGATCACCTCATGGTCAGAAACGTTAGGATCCGTTCTTAACTCCATTGGAAAGTTTGGAGTGCTGTTTAACAAAATTATGTTAGTGATTCCTAAGAAGGGCATTACATTGGTGGGACATGGTGAAATAAGGCCACTACCTGAAAAAATTCTAACCATCAAGAACATTTTGATTCCAAACCCTAAAAAGAAACGGACATTTCTTTAGAAGAATAGTCTTCTACAGTCTATTCATTGCAAACTCTAATGTGATAGCGGCTGCATTGCAGAAAGCTTATAGGAACCTCCAAACTTCTATGGATCCATGAGAAACACCAGTCATTTGACCGAATGAAAAAACTTCCAAATGACCAGTGGATGACCCTACATTACCTGTACCCAAGAGACCACTCGTAGTTTCTACATATCCTGGTAATTATGGAATAGGAGCCATCCTACGACAGACGGGAAAAGTGGTTTATTACGCATATTGAGGCCTGTGAAACAGAAGTATTTAACAGTTTAGAAAGAATATATGGCTATTATCTAAGAATTAAGAAAACGAAAACAATATATCAACTAACCCCAAGTCCCCGTGATAGTTACAGACAATGCAAGATCCCTTTGGAAACTAGAATGTTGGAATTTACGGTCATAGGAGTATGATTTTACTATTGACCACATTCGGGGAAAGGAAAATGTTGTACTGAATTACTTATCGAGATCAGATGAAACAGCTGAATTGTCTGTGATTTTTACAAGTGTTACTGTCTAGTTTTATCAGTCGTACTTAAGTGAAAAGCGATTACAATCTTTACAACACCAGCCTCCATGTTGGTGGATGTATTTGTCGAGTGTATTCTGTTATGCTACACCAAAAATTAATGAGGCTTATTGATATATCATTTACCGACTCAAATACAGCAGACTGAGCACATACAGCTGTGTAAAATGCTTTTGAAACTAACCCTTCCTTCACTTCAATATAATTCCTGCTAGTACTGTCCTACTTCACACAGAAAATGTTCGAGACTTTAGTCTCGAATGGTGGGACCAAGTTTTAAACTGGACACAGATTTCAATTTGAAATTGGACAGTTCAAAAGTTCGTTGTAGCCACTTCACACACACATATACTCTACCCATTGGATGACATTTTATTATTTTAATTTTCACTTTGTGGTGATTTTATAGTATTACTGTGGTGTAAAAGGACTAAAGAAGTCGTACGCTTATTCAGAAAGCAGCCAATTCATAAGTGAATTCAGTGGAACTCTAGTACAGTCTTATTCATTATCGATTATCAAAGGACGAGTACACTGCGCTGCGATCCGTTCTGTTTTGTTATATGATTATAAGACATGAGATATGAAGAGACTAAAGGTGTTTTACTATAGGTGTCTTCGTAGCATTGGTCGCGTATGGTTGAATCACCATATTAACAACGTTGAGATCAGGTGTAAAGTACTTGGCAAGCCGATGAATAAAGTAGTGAGCCTCCATCGGCTCATGTGGCTTAGATATGTACGGCTCATGCGGAGCCGTCGTCTCCCTGCCTCGCTGTAAAATGCTAGGTGAAGTTGGACTCGGTTAGAAAAAGAATCAGGGTGGCCAGATCAGGAAGTGGTACCAGTCGATGAAGTCTCTGATTGTTGGTCGGGTTCATGTGAAGAGATGTAGAATGCCTAGCTGGGGTCCCCTAGCCAAAAGGAATCGGTGGCTAAAGAATGTTGGTGACATGGCTGAAAGTCGGTCGTAATGATGATGTATTCACTCTTTGTCGTCTTCTAAAGCTTGAACATTCCTAACTCTGACTTGCAAGTTGCTTCTCTTCGCATACACCTTTGTCTACTTAGATATCACTCTTTTTCTACCCACTTTTTCTTTGTATTGTGTTGTGAAGTGTGACAATTTGAATAGATTCACTTCTCTGCAAAGTCGTACGTTGATTTATCCGTCTGTCATCATCGACATTCATCTATTGAATAACTGAACATTTGATATCTGTATGAGAATCTGTGTGATCCCTTCCAACTTCACGCCAAAATGTAGTTGGTCATTGCTGGCATATTTACTAGGGCAAGTCGAATTGTAGCTGTAATTTTTCAACACTGTAATCCCAGTCACCAATTGGCTAACTCCCCTGTAGTTTATACAGCTGCGTTGAAATAATTGCTACTAAGTAATACTTGTTCTGTTATTTTTTTGTCTCTTTTTTTTAGTCTGTTCATCAGGCCACCATTGAGCTTGATGCATTTGAACATTCTATTTTTCTATCTCCGGTTGATGTGAAGGCGGAATATGCCTATATAACACCCGTTCCACGTACCACTATCACTCCACCACCATCGTTATCATCATATGGGGAGAATAATTCCTGTTCAGAATCTCTGTCTGTGTCGTCATCTTCATCCTCATCGATTTCACGAGCATTGTCATTTGATGCTGTCACATCATCATCAGCTGATGAGCCTTCTACATTATTTTTAATTCATTCATTCAGTAATTTAACTGTGACCCCCTCGACAACATCATAGCCGCCATTCAAAGATGTACTCTGTAGTAATTTTTATTATTCCAGTCTCTTTTAAATTCCTGTAATTCACGCGTAACACAATCTAAAAACAATTCCTTTTGCCAATATTATTATTGTTATTGTATATTGTCTAATTTTAAATGGATCTCCTTTAGTTGTTGTGATACAGCATAGAACTTCTAGAGTTGACTTTTTTTATTGTTGTATATTTACTACCAGTCTTTGCTGTGTTTACAGTCCAGTTTATTATCTGGATATAATCAATTTCTCATTGGTTATTTTACAGTTGGTTTATCTTCGTTTCGCTTTGGTTTCTTCTTCAGTTTTTAATACTTGAGCTGATTTTTAGCCGAAATAGTGATTATTTTAAATGAGGCAATCGTATCGCTTTAGTTTGTCCCAGGTTCCCACAAATTGGTGGTTTCTTCAAACTCGAGAATTCACAATATTCAGTGCTTTGTACACTTTGAAACAATGAACAAGTCAACTGTAGACAAATTGAAAAAGTGAAATGATGAACAAACGTACTGCTGAATTACTCTCATGTATTCTTAAATTTTTTTCCGAAAAATCGTTTTGTCACATTTGTTCGACGCTTTAGGATTTTTGTCATTATTTTTCTTCTTGAGTCATTATTAAACATTTCTCATATATTCTTTTGTTGAGAGAATAAGACTAATGCATGCAACCAATTCCTACTTTAATCATTCTCATTTATTATTACTACGATGCTTTTCACTACTAGTCGAGTTTATCTAGTCATAATTGAATGCGTTAATACAATCACCATTACAGATTAATTTAAACAGGCGATGCATTTTATTTCAAAGTAAAAAAGAGGAATAATGTTGGTGTTACTCTTCCACTTTCACTCTAGATCTCCTTTCTTTCTTTTTTCCTGTGTGTCTTTGTATGCATGAAACGAACTCTATTTATTTCACTTGAATTTTAGTTCAAATTAACTACTTTAAAAAAAGGAAACATAATTGGTCGGAAAACTGACTGACATGTTTGTAAATTTAGTTTTTCTGTGTTTATTGTATTTGTAAATAATGCAAGAAACCTCAGTTGTCTATAGTATGTACAAACATGTTTCTGAAATATATTCAAATATTATTATTATTATTATTATTTGTCCCTTGGGCTCCTAATGGAACATAGGGCTTCAGTAGCACGTCTCCAATGCGCTCTGTTCTCTGCAGTCTTTTGAACCTGGCTCCACGACAGCCCAGAAGCTCTCATTTCCTCCTGGCACGATCTCCTCCATGTCACCCTCAGCTGGGACGCCCAACTCGTCGCACCCCATCTGGGTTCCACTCGAGGGCCTGGCCTGACGCGTGATGTCCCCAATCGGCCTTCTCAGTGTATGCGCAATCCATCTCGACTTCCTTCTGCATATTTGTTGAGCGATAGGTTGTTGGTTGGTTCGTTGCCAGTCAGCCAGGCAGAGTTCCTTGTTGCTTATTATTTCTGGACATCTGAGTTTCAGTAACGAGCCAGCGTAGGTGGCGGTTGCTGATGAATGTCTGTAGTTTGTTGGGAATGCTTTTCGTAACGCGTCAAGTCTCTCAACCATCACACAGAAGCACTGAGTTGACGTTGGTGTTGAAAATCCGGATGTTGTTCATGCTTTATGCTGAGTGGAGTCCAGTAGATCTCCACACTGGTTTCAGGCTAATGAACGTCTGTCTTGCTTTTCCGATTCTGACTTTGACATCCTCGTCTGTGCCTGTGCTGCCTGTAGTTGAAACAGTGCTTCCTAGATAGGTGAAGGGGTCTCCTTACTTTAAATTTCTCCCGTTGATGGTGATTGGAGCTTGTTGTTGTTGTTGGTGGTGGTGGTGGTTGCGTTGGTTGGGTATCTTCATCACCTCTGTCTTCTCTATATTAACTTGAAGTCCCGTCTTCGCTGCCCTGCCTCTCCTGTCAACTTGTTAGTTTTCGCGTGTAGATCTTCCAGTTTGTGCGACATCAGACACAAGTCATCGGCGAAATCCAAGTCTTCTAGGATCTTTTCATCCGTCAAACAGCGTATGCCCTCTTCTCACTCCTCACAGTTTGTTGCATGATGCAGTCGACCACAATGAGGAATATCATGGGGGATAGTAGGCAGCCTTGTTTTACTCCTGTCTTCACTTCCAGTGCAAACGCATCACTGAGCTTCCCATTGTGAATTACTTGGCTGGCATGTGGTGTCTTCATATAGTTGTTGAATGAGGGTGATAACGGTTTGTGGTATTCCGTAGTGTTGAAGCAACTGCCTGCCAAATTACTTGTCGGTCGACACTGTTGAAAGCCTTCTCAAAGTCGATGAAGTAGAGGTAGAGTTGAGTTGACTGCCATTCTATGCTCTGTTCTATGATGATGCGTAGTGTAGCGTTGCAATTTGGTCGTCACATGATTTGTACTTCCTGAATCCAGCCAGCCTGTTCCGGTCGTAGATTTGAATGCAGTGCATCATTTAGTCTCTCGAAGATGATGCAGCTTAATATTTTGCTTGTATTGGGTGGACAGGGACAGGAGCGTGATTCTGCGTCAGTTCTTGCAAACACCGAGGTCTCCCTTCTTCGGGAGTTTGACAAGGTAAACCTTCTTCCACTGTGCAGGCAGATACCTTTCCTTCCTTCTTTCCTTCCTTCCAGACCTTGTGCAATAGTGGTGTTGTGTGAGCATATCCGCTGTTGTCTCTGCGTCTGTTCTCAGTGCTTCTGGAGGGATTCCATCTGGTCCTGCTGCTTTGCAGCATTTCAGTAGCTTTATGTTGCTCAGGACTTCGACTTTCGTTGGAGGATTTGTGTTCACTTGTTGTTCTGTGGCTGGGTTGCAGGTGGTTTTTCTGGACGAAGTGCAGGTGGTGGCGGTGGTCTATTCAAGAGCTTCTTGAAGTTGTCGGCCCATCTTTTTTTTTGTTTCTCTTCTTTGGTAATTAAATTTCCTTCATCATGTTTTACTGGTTTCATGTGTGTTGATCTCTTCCCAGATAGTAACCTGGTTATTTGATACAATGTTGTCAGGACACTGTCTCTCCTACCTGCAGCCTGTTCTGCTTCACTTGCCAGTGTTTTGTAGAAGTGCCTTTTGTCTTTGCGTGCACTCTTCTTCACTTCTTTGTCCAGTGTAGTGTTTTATACATTTTACTCAGTTCCTCTTGTCGTTGAGCATCCTTGCACTGGTTTATCTTCTGCTTCACCATCCTCCTCTCCCTGCTCTATCAGCTTCCATGTGGAGATCCGTCGAGGTCCATTCCTTATCTTCTTTCTTCTTCCCTCTTTCCTAATACGGCTGTACAGGTTTCTTTCCACATCTCTTTCAAAGACTTCCAGTGTTCTTCCACACAGGTTTCTTCAGGGATGTTCCTCGATATCTCTCATTTTGTCTTGATGGCTGGCTGTCGTGAAGATTTCCTTTGTAGTTTCGTCCTTCAGTTTCTGTTCCGAGTGTTGTACTTGAACTGTGATCTGTCATCACCAGCTTCCTTGAAGGCTTTCAACTTGATTTGGAAGGTTTCTTGTACCAGATAGTGGTCTGCACCTACATCTGCTCCTGTTCTTCATCTGATCTTGTGTCAAGTAGACTGCATCTCCACTTTCCTGAGATTGAGATAAAGTTGATGTGATTTTTAGTGTGTCTTGGCGTCTGGTGAAATCCATGTCGGTTTGTGGATATCCTTGTGCTTGAACACACTGCCCCACTCCAATCACCAAATCGTTGAATGCACGGAATTCTGCAAACAATTCTCCATTCTCGTTCATCACCTCACCGAGCGCTTCTCAACCCATGGTTAGTTTTTCTTCCTGTGTTGTCCCCTCCCAGTTTGGCATTCATGTCACCCTACCCATTAGAATGAATTTTGATGTCACCATCTGGGGTATGGTCTTGTCCAGTGTTGATTGCAGTTGTCTGTAGAATTCCTCCTTCTTCTCTTGATCTGCAATGTTTGTAGGTGCATGACGTTGCATTGTATGATTGTGACCTTCGTTCCTTCCGTCTGATTTGAATCTTGCTGTCATGATCCTGATCCTGCAGGAGGAGATTGGTTCCCACTGCATGATATGCTGTTGGGGACATCATGATAGCCACTCGAAAACTCAGTGTGCTGGTGGTTGTTGCCTGGGTGACAGTATCGGAGTAGATTATTGATTCCGCAGATGACAATTTGGAGAGTCCACTTGCATTCGATCTGCTTTCGCGAATTCCTGGCACTTAAATGTAATGCCTTCTCATCTCCTTTGCAATCTGGGCTGCCATGCTGGGTTCAAACATGGTGCGGACATTCCATGTCCCCACGTTTACTTTCGCTTTTATCGAGAGAAGCACAGACACATGGGCCAATCGGCTTCGTGAAGGCTTTCACCAACCGGCGTCATTTCGTCTCTCCGATTTCAGCGAGGAAAAAGTTTGTTTTTATTTTTTATATTTTGTTTGTGCTTTGAAGTTTGTTTAGCGGTTGGATTTGTTTTACGGGGTAGGGTTGCTAGCCCTATGCCCAGCCTTCCCTCCTTACCTGGACTTAGGACCGGCTAGTAACTAGTGAACTGGTTTGCCAGGCCAGGTGAGTAGAGTAGATAGAACTACAGATTCAAAATCAATAGAGCATTTTCCCTATATTATGCTCTAATTGGTCTTACACCTGCTTCTATTCTAGTTCACAGGAAAGTAGAATGAATTCAAATAACTTGGACTTTATTTCAGTTGGAACTTGATACTGCTGCTTTTGACAGAATCGTACTGATTGACTTCAATCACGGAAATAAGGCGTTTTTGAGGTATGCGGTGTTATTTATAGATTATTTGAATATAACCTCTTGACAATAGATAAGTGTAAATATTTTCGTCGTTCATGCATCTTCTGCACCTACTGTAATGGTTCATTAGGAATGAATCTATCACTATTATATCCTCATATGGAAACGGATACAAAGCAATTACTGAAGGAAACCAGTCTTTATAATATCATGCACTGTTTGTTCAATGCAAGTAGTAAATGCAATTAGGACAAGA